GGTTCTGAATTGCCTGTTGTCGCCATCTACTACCTGGAACCATCGTCATTTGCGGGCGCGACGCGACGCCCACCAGCGCGGCGAATTACGATTCTCTTGTCACATACCCATCCAAACAGAAGAAGGCAATTTTCTTGTTACCGTACTATTTTCACGAAGCCTGCAGGCTACCTGAAAGAGATCCTATGAGTGCTTTGTATGATATGCCATGCTCTCTATTTCGACTGAACTCTTACACTTGCGTCAGCCTTAGTAGCTGCGTTATGGTAACCAGTTCCGCTTCTTTTCAGGATGAAGCGGTGTTTACGATGCCGTTCACGGGAACTCTGCCATGACCATGGCTCGTACCGATTAGTTACTCGAGACAAATTAGAGCCATCTATGTGGATCAATGAATACGTTATTAGGCACTATCGGCCAACAAATATGAGCAATAAAATGTGTGCTAAAAGGTAATTGCTTGACTTTTGTGGCTTTCTTCTTCCTTATCTAGACCTTTTTCTTTGCTGCTGTAAAAGTTTTCCTAGCCCGGATTGCTGCTACCCTTTCTACTGGGATAATGAAGGGCGACACGACAACATAGCACTCCGGGCCATTCAAAGACATGGTTCACGCTGGTAGCAGGGGCAGAGCTGCATCCTACATTCTGCTTTTGCTTATCGAACCTTTCCTAGCACCGTAAAAGGCAGGGATGTGATAATAAAGGGGACGGAATTGTAGGCCCGACCCCGCCCACATAACCGCACAGATTATGTTTTCAAAAGAAAAGAGAGCCATGCTTACAAAAAAGAACGGTATGTGATAGCTACGTCCCTTTGTCCAATCCGATCTTGCCTAACATCACAGCGGCAATGCATTACAGTTGATATCAACGTAATTTTGTGGGGCGGAGTCTGGAGGCGTGGAATGAGCCATTCCGTGGCCTTTTCTACTTCTGCTTGTTTTCTTCTCAAGAGCCGTAATTGTGGGGGGGGAGCAACCAGCGGTGGGCTCATTCCACACTTACTGACATCGCCCCTGTGGGTTGCTACGATATCAACTCCAAATATAATTTTTAGTAGGCATGGGTATAAAAAACCTTCAAGAAAATCTCAAGTGCACCATTTCAGCATCTTCCACTGGACTAACGAGACAATCAACATTTGGAGCCATTTGCTAGGTTTCATCTACTTCACCTACTGTCAGTACGAGATGAACGCCTATCGTATACCGTTGATGGGCGGTCATTTTCAAGATCATCTCGTCATATCGCTCTCGATCTTTGGAGCTCAGGTTGTGCCACTCAATATACTCTGATATATGTAAATTATTGCCTCGAGCGATATCAATTTGGCACTTAGAGGAAGTCTCATGGAAGGAACGGTCGGCTGGCATGCAGTGGATTCCGCTGCAGACGCTGGGGCGTGTCAGGAAGCTGGAGCTGGCGCGGTCAGCTGGTTTGCCACCAGTCGTTGAAATGTGTGACACCCCCTCTTGGCTGAACGCCCCAGTGTCTGTTAGCGGAAATGACGAGTATGTCATCGGGGCCTCTGGAAGCAACGGGATGTTCCCAAAGACAAACCTCAATAAAATCTCTAAACTAGAACCAAAAAATATGTTGGTTGTCACTATCTGGCGGTATCTGTCTCGGGGTCCCTAGTCTGTCCAACATCGAGAGAAAGTTTCGCGTGATTATTAAGGGCGGAACCCTTCACGACGACCAGGCCTACTTAGCGCATCATTTCGCCGCTGAATAAAAATGGCGAATTTGGGGTCAAAACATTAGACGTTCCAGTCTGACTGCTCTCACTCGTTCTGATTCCACCCTTATTACGCTTAAAGACACATGGTACGCTCAAACACATTGAGGGTGTATGAGACTAACAGCCCCCAGCTGTCGATGTGTCGTGGTCCCCCCGCTCAAACATGCCCAGGAATGGAGATACAGGACCGTGGGAAAGGCTTATTCCTTGCTACTCCGCCCAAAATTCACCGCGCGCGAGTTGCATTTCGCCGCGCGCGCGGTGAATTTTGGGCGGAGTAGCAAGGAATAAGCCTTTCCCACGGTCCTGTATCTCCATTCCTGGGCATGTTTGAGCGGGGGGACCACGACACATCGACAGCTGGGGGGCTGTTAGTCTCATACACCCTCAATGTGTTTTGAGCGTACCATGTGTCTTAAAGGAAGAACCCGCGATTACTCGCCATCTCAGATGGTGGATTAGGGGGTTCCATATAGACGACAAGGGGTTGAGTAACTCGACTGTGAACAAAAAAAAGCACAAAAAACATGCACCTGCCCTAGATAGAACCCCATTTCGATCCCAGTTTGTACGTGCCCAATCAACTCTATCTCCAAAACTACGCCCTCATATGCACGGCTGATTCACCGATAAGATTTCTACGATCGTACAAGTGGCGATTATCATGCTTTTTCGTCCTGCAATTCATTTTCCCACTGAAAGTCGGTCACTATTTATTATTTTTTTTTTTTTTTTTTATTAGGGCGGAGTCTGGAGGCGGAGTCACTGGAAAAAAGGAGGAGCCACTGAACCTATATTGCGCTACAGCGCCCCTCCCATAGAATTTTTTGCCGCGAAACCGGTACAAGGTTGTTCGTCGCGGACCACTCTAACCTCCTGACGCCATATTTTCAACTTCGATACCTGATAGCGGAACCGTGCCTTTAACATCCATCTTCTTTTATAGTGCCACTCCCGCGCTTCCTTTTGAATTCTTAGCGGGAGCGCGAGCCTAAATTCAGCTCATGTTTGTCCACTGCTGGCAATTACTGGCGAGGCCTTTTTCGGACCGTACTCTAACGTGGTGTGGCTGCTTTCGGTTTCATTGTGATGTCAATGCTCGTATGTAATGCGCTGTAGTGGAATAGTGTAATGGTTGACAAAATCATCATGAGTGACGTCCCGAATTGTGGTAGACGAACGGGGAGCTCCATGGAATGCACTACTTATAAAATGTTTTCCTTCAGACAATAAGGCACACGTGGACAAATGCTATTTCTTTGGACAAATAGGCGCTGTACCATCAAAGTACCATACTTGAATGTGTTGGTGTGCCGCAAAAGCCCCCTCACTGCCCTTCCGATAGTGACGCTGGCAACAATCTCCACCTCGAGCAATCGTGACCACTGCTTTCAGAAAAACTGTGATAAATGTAAAATTTCAAACCGTACTTACTTTTTTTAGCAAAAAAAAGCTTCGAAATCGTAATAATTAAAATCTATCGAAAATTCCAGGTGTGCATGCTGTTTTCGGCAGCGTACCACACGTTTTGCTGTGCAAATGAGAGAAAACGTCAAAAATTCCTGAAACTCGATATATTCGGAATCTCAGCCGGTTTACTTGGAATGTACTTGTCCGGAATCTACACGGCATTTTTCTGCTTCCAGGTCAGTAATTATAACTAGACGTGATCGCGTGGCGGCGTCGCATGGGTAATGGTGTGTCATTATCGGAAAACTCGTCCTGAACACTGAACTCCTTCATTCTCGTAAGCAATGGCCCACATGAGGTTGGGAATGTTGGTACTGGTTCTCCTACTTCTGAACTATGAGAAGTTACGAAAACCAGAAGTTCTATGTTTCGGACGAGTTGTTCTGCCTGAAAAAAACTCGCCACATGACATGTCATGACCAGAGCACGTCCTACGTTGGGGAATTTCCAGCAGGGAGGAGGTCATATTTGCTCGCTGGACAGATTGGGAGGCTGTACATTGCCTGAAGAACGTTTTTTTTTGATAGTTGATATTTCTTGTTCCACGAGCGCTACTAACATGGTTGGGAGATTGGTGGGGCTCATATTTGCTCGTCGTCCGGAGAGGCGTGGGATTATATCTACCTTTGAGAGGAATCCGCTACCCCCCTCCCTCACCAGTCGCTGGTGTTTCAGAACTACTACACATCTGCTCTTGGTAGCTGGAAATAGCAGTTGGTTCGTGTCCTCCCTCCCCCATCTCCAGGGCAAAAATTCGGGAACAAACGAGAAACTTTAAAATTTTTCGGCAATTTGGAAAATTTCGGAAAATGTGTAGAAGGCTCTGGGAAGTTACAGGATGAAGTAGAGGTGGGGATGTAGCAGAGGACGAATTTGGGTGGAGATCGTATTTTCCGAGAATTCTCTTCAGCGGCTGGACGTGCTCTCTTTATGACTCGCCAGTAGCATTGCGATTGCTTCACATAAGAAGTACGTAACGCTAATCCTTGATGATTGGGACTATGTGAAGACCCCCTCAAAAAAACTACAGTAGTTGCTACCATCGTTACAGGACCACCTCGAGACGTACGTCTATATGCTGTTGTCTATCTTCGCTATTACTGCTTACGTGCCAACACGAGACGATTTCTTTGATCGAAAAATTGTTGGCTCTCGAATAGGATATCTGCATATTATTTATTCATCAATCATCGTCTTCGGATTTTGTCCAACCACCCACTGGGTATACCTACATGGTGGTCTGGAAAATGCACATGTAGCGGTAAGTTTTGAAGACAGACTTGAAAGATACCTTCACCGCTGGTCGTATGGGCAGAGCAGAACCGTACTCTCCTTATTGGCACACCCATTCTGTTTGTCTCACCAATTTGGAGGGAATTGCGTACCAAGGGGCAGAAAGATAGGCTCCAGGCCTACATTCTCTTATGCTAACTCTGTAAAATGTGCCTTCAAACTAATGTCCATACGTCCATTATACTCCTACAACACAACCAAGTGTACATAAATGTTGCCGAAAAGATCACGAAGCATTAGGCCCCCCCCCCTTGACATAGGACACCTTCCACAAGCAGGGTATAGCATCGTCGTATGAAACACGTGGGAAGCTGTACCTGGCCTTTGGGGAGAAAGATGGAGATATGCGTAGTGTTCGTTGAAGAGGTGGGGTCGTACGTGGCTTCAAGAGAATTTTGAGAAAAAATTTTCCCGGTTGTTTATCTCGTCCCCGAAGAAAGTTTTTGTTGAAAACTGGAAAAACTCCGAAAAGAGGAAGCTGGGAACTTGTAGAACAGTGGTAGGAAGGTGCTACGGAAAGGCGAGGGTCGTACCGAGACTCTTCCTCGGGGGGGGGGGGAGGGCGGGAGGGCGGGGTCGCACTGACAGCGCATCAATCTCACACACTACGAATGTGTAACCTACTGTCCACAAATTTCCTAGCGGCTAAATGCTGGGCTCCACCCTCCCTTCTTCCTACACCTTCAAGAAAGTGTGATAAACTTCCACTAAGGACAGAGACCTAGGCCAGTTCTAAATGTGACAGTTTCTGCATGCGCGACCAGTACAGTAAAAATCGAAACGTTGGTACTACATGCGCCTAGATGGATATATTTTTCAATGGATTTACCTTTCCGAACACCTTTTTGAATTAGTAAATTCTAGTATTGGTTGGTCGACATCTTTATACTTTATGGATTGATTGCCTTAGCGTTCTTCTTCTACGTGACACTGATCCCCGAACGACTTTGTCCTGGGTAAGTTTTTCATCTTTCTTTTCAACGAATGCAACATTTCAAATAGAAGTTGTGTGGTGCAGTTAGGAACATTCGAGGCTCTACGGCATCACTTTTCTGGAACCGGATGTTCCTTAGGCACCAACGCAGGCTCGCAAGAGCCCTTTGATAGATCATTGCATAATGCGACTAGCTAAAATCTAGACTTTTGTTAAAATTCCCCATTGATTCTGCCAGAACATTATAAGTTTGGGAAAACAGGCGGTCTACAGGCCAAGATGTTGGATGGAATCTCCTCGATAAGGCTCAGCAAGAGTATATTTGTTTCCGCTTTACATTTGTACCCGGGTGCTGCATAGGCCAGAACTGAGCCGTACTGTCTCTACTCGGCGCTCCTACGCGCTCAGTTCTACGCGTAGTTTCGGATAGTATCATGCTTGCTTTCCCCTCAACTGATATTTTAGAGATTCTACCCTTTTAATGCTACCGTAGAACACTTGTCCCCCCCCTCCCCCCACCAGATTCATATTCCTGCTACCGTTTCTTTTATTTCGGGCAAGTCCATTCTTGCACTCAACCCTCCTCCCCCCCCCTTCACTCTTAGGACAAATAGGCACAAGTTTCCTGTTCTTAAAGTATCATTTTTAGGTGCGTTTGACCTCGTAGGATGTTCTCACCAATGGTGGCACATATTCATTTTATCGGCTATGGTATTCTGGCAACGTACTGGCGTAGATCTATTGGCGTTCTATCGAATGAACGAGTCATCATGTCGTGACACCATCACCCTGGTGCCATCAAACTCGTCCACCGTGTACTTGTAGTTACCGTAGACGCAATTAGCTGTCA